AGAGAGCGCAGCGTCACTGGCCCTCATGTGGGATCTGAACCAGGGCCCCGCTGCTTAGAGCTGGTGTCCCAAGCCAACTCTTAACCAGTGCACCAGTCAGCCGGCCCAGTAGTTAAATTTTTTAAAACATTTAAATCTGTGAGTCATTTGGGGCTTTTTTTTGGTATAAATTATGGATCAAACTTTATTTTTTGCTTATAGCTACCCATATAACAATGTTAAGTAAACTTTCTTATAAAGGAAAAGAACTGTGTGATACCATTATCCCAACACAAAATTTAAAAACTCTTTAAAGTTATGAAATATTTCCACCACATAGAGAAGTGTGGGAAAAAACATAGATTGCCCATGTACCTGGTACCTGGATATAACCTGAATATAAATCTTAATATTTTGTCATGTTTCCTTCAGATCTTCTTAAATTAACATAGTTGAAGCCCATTTACACTCTTCATTGATCCCATTCCAGTTCAACTATTTTCATTTTTGCCTGTTTCTTAGTCTTTATACCTACAACTTTAAAAAAGTTTGTATGGTGTATCATAGAAAATTATGTCACTGTTTATGAGTTAATATTGTGTTGTAAATATGTCCCATATTACCACATATATTTCACAGTTATTTTTATGGACTCTTTAATATTTCATAGAGTTGAAGTGCCTTAAGTTAAATACCCTCTTGCCAGCCATTTAGGAGACATCTAACTCTTCATCAATCTGATCAAGTCTACATGGTGCTTTCATGTTGGTGCTTGCTTCTTTTGTTAAATTATTTCCTGTATTACATCCTTAGGAGCTGTATTGCAGACCAAAAGAACTTTTTTGGGTGTGTAATATATATCAGATTGCTTTTCAAAAGGCATATCTTTTCTAAAAAAGCAAAATCACCATAAAAATATTTTCCCAAATGAACAGAAATGATACTTTATTCAGTTCTAATCCCTCACTTTACCCAGGAAATGTATCACTTAGAAAACTGTTTAGCAATGACTTTCCCTCTAAGTGGCTTTCAAGTTTTTGTGTCATTTTCCATAGTCACATATTCTGGTATACTTCGCAGTGGCAGGTTTTTATTCCAAGGTTTATACTCCAAACCTTGAACTCTCAGTGTACTTTTCCTCTTTTTTTATTTTTTCCTATTTGGTGTGTCATGAGGCTTTTCTCATTTTGTAGGGTATCAGTTAGCAGAGCAATCAAACCCTTTGCAGAACCTGGCCGCCCTCCAGACTGGTTCTCTCAAAAAGTAAGTTCCCAAGCAGGTGCTCTTTTAGAGCGGTGTTTGAAATGTGAAGTGGGTTCTCTTCCAGGCCCTGTCCTTTAATCACAAGGCTTTTTTTATACCATGAAGAGGAGAATACCTTTTCCTTATCCCCGTTTACCAATCCATCAATATATGCTTGTATTACAAACTATTCTTGTCAATGTAGCATAACAGTTAAGAGCCCAAGCTTGGGAATTTGACAGCTTTAGTTTTAATATGACACCACTTAAAAACTTTGGACCATGATACTCAGTTTTCTCATTTGTAAAATAGTGATAAAAGTTGCTTCAGCGTGGTTTTAGAGATTTAGTTGAGGTAACACTTGTAAAGCATTTAGCACAGCACCTTGCATATGGCAATTACCCAGTAGATATTAGCTATACATATTGGCCATTAGGTTGTTTTTCCCCAAATACTCAAACTCCAGGCCAGAAGACTCCCTTTTCTATGTCTTGGTATTGATTATTTTGAACTTACCATATTTGCCGGTGTATAAGACGACTGGGCGTATAAGACGACCCCCTAACATTTCCACTCAAAATACAGAGTTTGTTATATACTCGCCGTATAAGACTACCCCCTCTTCCGCACACCTTCCACACACCAAATAAAAGGTAAAACAATATCAGATTTGATTTCAACATTTTAATTTATAATGAACGGTATGTGGAATGAAGTGGGCGGGCATCGGGAGGCCACTATGGCATGGGGCAAGCACTATGGGCAGTCTATCTGAAGTGTACCTGGCGTATAAGACGACCCCCCACTTGGAGGCATATTTTTCAGGGCCAAAAAATCGTCTTATACGCCGGCAAATACGGTATTTCATTGCAAAGTAATTGGCTCTCCAAGAAAGCACTGATATCTTACATATAACTCCCCTCTCTGAATTTTAGTCTGGTGTGTTGAAACTTTGAAAGGTCATTTCTTTCCAGGCTTGCTCATCCTCTTCTCACTTTTTTTTCACATAGCATTGTGCTTCCCAGTACTCCGAACTTCTAGAGACCACTGAGACCCCAAAGTGAGTACAAAACCGGGTATTTGAGCTGAATCTCCTTAGTGGAGAGTGTTTACTGAGGAAGTCTGGTTTTATATCAATTCATATTACTGGGTGATAAAAGTATAAGAGAAATTATCTATTGTTAGGTGGTAGAGAAAGCTCAAAGAAAGCAAGTGGGAGTGGGAACAGATGTTCTCTTACTCAAGTGTGTGTGTGTGTGTGTGTGTGTGTGTGTGTGTGTTTATTTTAATTTTCCACAGACGGAAACGGGGTGAAAAGGGAGAAGTGGTGGAAACTGTTGAAGATGTTATTGTTCGGAAACTGACAGCCGAACGAGTTGAGGAACTAAAGAAAATGATAAAGGAAACCCAGGAAAAATATAGGTACTTATCAGAGAGATGCCAGACAAAAGGGGCTGACTTCTAATTCTGCTCAGAATTTTTTAAATAGCAGATTTAAAAAAACCTCGTCTACCTACCTCTGTTTTTTTCTACAGACGGCTGAAAAGAGATGTAGACCTAATTCAAGCTGGGCACATGGACAGCAGACTGGATGAGCTTTGCAATGACATTGCGATGTGGGTTATATTATATTGTTCTTCTGTCTATACTCCTTTCTGTCTTTTTTATTCCCTTTTCTCCTTGAGTTATCTGGCTTATTTCCTCCATCCGTCATTCCTTTAGACTTGACAGATTCTGGAAGGGGAAACTGCAGAGTGCCCTGGTAGCTGGGAGGGGGGAGTGAGTCCTAGAAGATAACGTGATGGAACATTTCAAAGTGAGAACGTGACTTCGTTGTAACTTACAAGTGACTCTAGTTTATGTGGGTGAAGAACTGATGGTTAGGCAGTATACTCAAAATTCCCTGTTTTGCTCATAAGGATTCCTTTTTAGGCCTTTTCTTCAGGAAGTGCTAGCCTGGCAAAAAATTTCCTCTTGAGGGCATTGAGAACGGTGGAGGAGCAAGAGCTGGCTAGGATCTAACCCTTAATTCCCCCTTTAGGAAAAAGAAATTGGAGGAAGAGGAGGCTGAGGTGAAGAGGAAGGCTACAGATGCTGCATATCAGGGTAAGCTGAAACTAGTGACTGTTTAGCAACCAACTGTACAGTACTACATGCTGATGACAGGTGAAAAGTATTGTGTAACAGAGAATCCACTAATTCCAACTTACTTGACACTTTTCTCTGTCATCATCTCTTTTACCAGAGTAAAAACATCCTTTTATGTCCGGGAAGAAACTCTTAGAAAACGAGCTCTGCTCAGATCTCACTAGACCTTGTGTCCTTTTAGGACACAAAGGCCTGATAAGACAGTGAACATAATGAAGATTTTAGAAGTCAGAGGTGTGTCAAAAGTGAAAATAGCTCAGTCACTGGATAAGGGGAGGAACTTAAGCATTTGTAGTTGTAGAAATACATGCTCTGAGCCAATGAGGTGTTTCCCTCTTGTAAAAGCAGAATCTTAATAAGTTATTGAGGAGGGGTGTTTAAACTACTTTCCTACTCTAAGGACCTTGGAATAGTTGAATTATTAAATGAGTTTGCTTAGGGTGAGAATTTCTTTTATATGTTCTAGCTCGTCAAGCAGTAAAAACACCCCCTCGGAGGTTACCTACTGTGATGGTCCGCTCTCCAATAGATTCTGCCTCCCCAGGAAGTGATTATCCACTTGGGGACTTGGCCGCAACCACTATGGAAGAGGCTACCTCTGGGGTGAGTATATTTCCATCTGCAGGAATTGATCAGCAAAGGGGCAATAAGCCAGCAAAGAGCTGAGTGATCAGGAAACCACTTTTGGCCTAGAGGCAACTTCCTCTCTTGGTCTGAATGCTAAAGACTTATTTTACCTTGTTCTGTGCTCTAAGATAAGGATGAACCTAAAATCATAGAACTTTTGACCTTTTGAGAAATAGGTAAAAGACTGTGTCAAGGAACTGTTTGTAAGTGTGCTAGTCTTATGAAATTCCTGCTGAAATAAGGGACCGTGACCTTGTAAATACAATATTGGTAGTGGGGAAGGAGATTGTAAAAGGCAGGTTGGGGGGAATGGTTGGGTCATTGTGGGTTTGAGTGGGTGAAAGAGAAAAAATTGTGGGAAGGAAAGGTGTGGTTGAGAGCAGGATGGGTAGAGGGTTTCTGGGCATTTCCTCTCAGGACTAATAAAGTAGTAGTTAGATACACTAGTCCATCCATTCGTAGGGAACCTTCCAGAGTTTGAGAAGTCAGATAAAGGTTCTCTGTTGTCTCTTAGGTAACCCCTGGGACTTTGCCGAGTACCCCAGTCACCTCGTTTCCTGGGATTCCTGACACCCTTCCTCCAGGCTCTGCACCCTTAGAAGCCCCCATGACCCCAGTAACAGATGATTCACCCCAGAAAAAGATGCTTGGACAGAAAGCAACTCCACCCCCCTCCCCTCTGCTGTCAGAGCTCTTGAAGAAGGGCAGCCTCCTGCCTACTAGCCCCAGACTGGTATGGAGACTTCTGTGGGTGTTTGAGAGCTGTGGTGATTTAGTACTTTGGAAGGGAGTGCCTGGGACCTAAAATATGACATGGAAAAAGTTCAAAAGAGGAACAGATTTCCTAGTTAAACGTTAATTAAGGAAAAAAAAACCAAAAAAACCCCAAAAAACAAAACCCAATACAGTTAAGTTGATAGTATCCTTGGGTCCTGAGGTGTCTGAGACCATCATTAATTTGGTTCTCTTCTCCAGAGAACTCTAGTTAAATAAGTTTTGAAAATTAGAGTTTCCCTTGGGTCTAAAATTATTCTCGTTGGATATTAACTTTAGTTTTGTGAAGTTTGGTCAAATGTTGGAGCTTTTTTTGGGAAGTGGTAGTAAAGGAAAGCTTGAGTGTAGCCTTCACCTCTATTCTTCCCTGGTAGGTAAATGAGAGTGAAATGGCTTCTGGTCACCTGAACAGTGCAGGTGTCCTCCTGGAGGTAGGCGGGGTCCTTCCCATGATACATGGTGGGGAGATGCAGCAAACCCCCAGCACTGTTGCAGCCTCCCCTGCTGCCTCAGGTAAGTCACCACTTTTCCATTATCTACTCTACTTCAGAGTTGTTGAGCTTGGCATTGATGGACCTTGGTTTCTAGCCTTTGTTACTAAGCAACTGTCAGTCCTAGATTTAAAGCCCAACCTTGGAGCTACTTCATCTGTTAAACCACATAGTGTCCCAGATTTTAAATCCATTCCATCTTCAAAATATTGATAGCCCTGGATGACCACAGCATAGATGTTGATGAGACAAATAGTGAAGTTAATAGCTACTTCTCTGGGGTTTACAAAATCTTGGAAGGGTGCTGTAGAATGGGGGGTAAGGTGTGGAACCAGAAAACGAGTTGAGTCTCAGGCCTGCCACACACTAGTTTTGTGACCTTGGTTAGGTAACTTAACTCTTGAGCCTCAGTTTCCTCTTTTATTAATTGCAATGTATATACTTCACAAGGCTGTAGTGAGAATTAAATGAAGTAGGAAACGTAAAGCAAAAAAAAATAAACTTTACAAAATACCAAACAAACATTCGATACTGGCATTTGAATTTGGGTGGTTAATGACATGCTTAACTTCAGAAGTGACAGATTTATTCATACCAATTTTTTGTTGTTAGGTTTAATTTTCTTAGGAAAAATTACCACCCATTTTTCATATACATTGTGTGTTTCAATATTTGGGCCATTCCTAACTTGGCAGAATCCCTTAAGTAAGGTGGGAGAGAGTAAGGACATAGATAACGAACTTACTCAACAGAGGAATTGTTTTCATCCTTTGAGACTAAAAGTTTTCTTGGTTGAGTCTTAAAGTATCTATTGCTTCTTATTCATGTGCTTCCTTCTTACCTCATTTTGTGTACCTCTTTGTCTGTTAGGTGCTCCCACTCTTTCCCGGCTTTTAGAAGCTGGTCCTACACAGTTCACCACACCTCTTGCTTCCTTCACTACTGTTGCCAGTGAACCTCCAGTTAAACTTGTGCCACCCCCTGTAGAGTCTGTGTCCCAGGCTACCGTTGTCATGATGCCTGCGCTGCCAGCACCATCCTCTGCTCCGGCTGTCTCCACTCCTGAGAGTGTAGCTCCAGGTGCGTCTCTTACCCACGCCCTGAGCAGCCACTAGGTCCAAAATTTCATCTTGAGCTTCAGTTAGAGATAGGTGACCAAGAGCATCACCTCCAAGTCAGATGCTTCTGTTCTTTTCTCCATGGACATTTGCCATCTTTAGCCTTAGGGAAAAACAAGATGTGAGAAGAAGTGGGTGGGCATTTATGTGCTGGGGGGAAAAGGCTAAGTGTACACATAGACGTGGGCTTGAGGATGTGTTTTTACCTTACTTTCTAGATAAAACTGAGAAGAAAACATAGGTAGATGTAAGATAACTTTTTCCGAGCTTTAGTGTATGAGCACTTGACATCTGTCAACAGCCTTGGTGTAATCTCCAGGTGGTCACTTGGTACTAAATAAGCTTCTGAGATGATTTTCTCTTCCGGTTATTCAGTGAGTCAGCCTGATACCTGTGTTCCCATGGAGGCTGTGGGGGATCCACATACTGTGACTGTCTCCATGGATAGCAGTGAAATCTCCATGATCATCAATTCTATCAAAGAAGAATGTTTCCGGTCAGGAGTAGCAGAGGCCTCTGGAGGATCAAAGCCTCCCAGCATAGATGGGAAGGAAGATTTAGATTTGGCTGAGAAGATGGATATTGCTGTGTCGTACACAGGGGAAGAGCTGGACTTTGAAACCGTTGGAGACATCATTGCCATCATTGAAGACAAGGTAACTATTCAGCAAAGCCCAAAAGAACCTCTCATGGGTCCTTCATAGGCTTCTTTCCTCAGCCTCTCCTTGCTTCTCGTAGTAACAATTACAGGAACAACTCTCCTGCTTTGGCCAACTTCCACCTCTGTAGTCCCAAAGCCCTTTGGTGCTGACATCCTAGTCCTCTCCCCAGCCATCCCTATGTTACTGGTTCACACAGGACAGGTGCCTGTCCTTGGTAGCTTCTACTACATGGAGAAGGTGGAGAGAGAAGCTGCAGGTTCAGGCCATTTCACTTGGTACTAACGGAATTGAGGGACTTGGGCTTCTTTCTGTGACTTCAGCAGTGTGTGTATTATGGGACAGGTAGATGATCATCCTGAAGTTCTGGATGTGGCAGCAGTGGAAGCGGCACTGTCGTTCTGTGAAGAGAATGATGATCCCCAGTCTCTGCCTGGCCCTTGGGAACACCCTATTCAGCAGGAGCGAGACAAGCCAGTAGCTCTGCCTGCACCAGAGTTGACAGTCAAGCAAGAGAGGCTGGACTTTGAGGAATCAGAAAACAAAGGGATCCATGAACTGGTGGACATCAGGGAGCCCAGTGTTGAGATCAAAATGGAACCTACAGAACCAGAACAAGGCATTTCAGGGGCTGAAATAGTAGCTGGAGTTGTTCCAGGCACAAGCATGGAGCCACCAGAACTCAGGAGTCAGGACTTAGACGAGGAACCTAGAAGTTCTGTACCTGGAGAGATTGCTGAAGCAGATGTTTCCAGTGGGAAAGGCGATGAGACTCCACTTACAACTGTGAAGACTGAGGTATTTAAGATCGGGCTGGGAGGATGGAGGGTTATACCTTAGGTAAGAAGTGACAGTTTTAGGCCTTTGGTTTTGTTTGTTGCATTCCTGAGTTCTGACATGTTTAATGTGTCTAAAGCCCATCAGTGTGATCAGTGCTATACATATATACATATTTTATTTCTGTTAAGGTATGTATTAGAATATTACATGGGTAGGATGTAGAATTTCTTCTATAGCCTCATTATCGTTGAAGAATAAAATTGTGCAAGTTGTAGTGATTTACCAGTACTTAAAGTATTTGTTCTTTTGGGTCTTCAGGCATCCCCGGAAAGCATGCTGTCTCCATCACAAGGCTCAAACCCCATTGAAGACCCTCTAGAGGGAGAGTCTCAGCACAAATTTGAAATGTCAGGTAAATAATAAGGCCAGGAAATCTGTATTCTGTAACTAACTTTTTATCATTTGCTTTGGCTGCTGAGGGATTGTGGGTTGTGGGCAAGTAGAGGAGGCAGAATAGGTCAGCATGGAAAGGAGAGCTGCAGGGAATTACTGTCCATCGAAAGGGGAAGGCTAAGGTGGAAAAATCTTCAGGTAGTCTTTCTCTCCTCTGCAGACTCATTGAAAGAAGAATCAGGGACTATTTTTGGAAGCCAGATAAAGGTATTTCAGACTTTTCTTTATTCCTCTTGCTGTGTGACTAGATTTCCCTATAGCACGACCTTTTTAATGAACTTCAGTCAACTGGCATCTTTATTCTCATGAGATGAGACTGGTTAAGGAGTTGCATGGGGAAAAGCTGCAGTGGACAGTCAGGCATAGTGGGAGGATGATTGATGGCAACACGTGCTTCCCATCTGAAAGAGTTGGTGAACATCACCACAGACCTTTCTTTGCATATACGGCCCCAAAAAGTTTTGGATTGAAATGAATAGGAATATCAGAACCAGGGAAACATAAGAAATCAGATTATTAATCATACTATCCAGAGAAAATCATCCAAAATTTTCTTTTTAGAATTACTAAGGCAGTAGTAACAAACAGACTTAAAATAACGCGATGTGAGCTTGCTCCATCAGATGAGACACAAAATAAAAGCTATTTTTGATAACTTTGTACCCAGGGTCAGAATTCCTCTCAAGAACAAGGGGAAAGAAGGAACGCCTCTTAGCTTAGTCTTAAGTAAGTAGCTTTTTTTTTCCTTCATTTTGAAAGGATCCTGGTCTTTTTCTTTGTCCAGGTTCTCAATTATTTGATTGATCAGTGTCTGTAAGTAGATGGTAGTATAAGTAATAGAGGGCTCAGTCAGGAAACAGTGTGAGGCCATTTTCTAGAACTGATCTAACCCAAGACAGATTGTGTTATAATGACGCTTTGCTGGATAGCTTTGTTTACACTTGTTAACTGGAGCACACTGTGTCTAAGGATGCCCCTGGTGAGGATGAGGAGGAAGATGGAGTCAGTGAAGTGGCCAGCCTAGAGGAGCCTAAGGAAGAAGATCAAGGAGAAGGCTATTTGTCAGAAATGGATAACGAACCCCCTGTGAGCGAGAGTGATGATGGCTTTAGCATACACAATGCTACGCTGCAGTCCCACACACTGGCAGACTCCATCCCCAGCAGCCCTGCGTCTTCACAGTTGTGAGTATCTGAGATTCCTTGAAGTCAAGGCAGTGAAAGAAGTAGGAGAGGATCTTTTTCTTTTTCTTTTTTTTTTTTAATATTTTATTGGGGAATTGGGGAAGGGAACAGTTTTGGGGAATTAGGGAAGGGGAACATTGGTTTTCCAGCACCCATCAGCTCCAAGTCAAGTTGTTGTCCTTCAATCTCAGCTCCAAGTCCAGTCACCCCTTTCAATCTAGTTGGGGTGGGGAGAGCGCACAGCCCATCATTCCATGTGGGAGTTGAACCTGCAACCTTGTTAAGAAGAGCACGCACTCTCACCAGCTGAGCCATCCAGCCGCCCATTGGCAGCTCAACTCGGGCGCAACTCATTGACCCATGTGGGAATCGAACCAGTGACCCTGTTGTTCAGAGCTCATGCTCTTAACCAACTGTGCCACCGGGCTGGCCTGAAGATCTTTTTCTTCCTTTTCCTTTTTTTTTTTTTTTTAGGCTGAGCCATCCTGCCACCTGTTGGCAGCTCAGCTTGGGCTGTGAATCGAACTGGTGACCCTGTTGCTCAGAGCTCACACTCTTGAGTGAGCTCTTAACCAACTGAGCCACTCGGCCGGCCCCCGAAGATCCTTTTCTTAATCTTACTTTTTCATCTTCCCTTTCTTGGCTTGGAACAAATGCATACCTTGGAGATATTGCAGGTTCGGTTCCAGACCACTGCAATAAACCGAGTATTGCAATAAAACGAGTCATAACCTTTTTGCTGGTGGAGGTCTTGCCTTCAATTTGTAAAAAATGAAATATCTATGAAGCACAGTAAAGGGAAGCTCAATAAAACAAAGGTATGCCTATAGTTGACAAGAAATACTTAGGGATTTTTTTTCTTATTTTTGACTTACGCTTAGTCACATAGATAGAAATACTCCCATATTTCTTTTATTTCAGTTCTGTCTGTAGTGAGGATCAGGAGGCTATTCAGGCACAGAAAATTTGGAAGAAAGCCATCATGCTTGTATGGAGAGCTGCAGCTAATCATAGGTGAGTGGGGGCTTTACCAGTTTGTAGGAACATTTTCTCCTGCTTCTCATGGTTGGTAACTAGAAAAAACTCCAAGTAGGCTTTTATTGGACTGCTGGCAGTGGCTCTTAACAATCTTCAGCTACCTAGGTCAAGTTCCCTCACCCTGTGCTTTTGAAGGATAGGCCAATAATTGCCTCTTATTCTCTTTGGACAGGTATGCCAATGTCTTCCTGCAGCCTGTTACAGATGACATAGCACCTGGCTACCACAGCATTGTGCAGAGGTAAGGCATAACCCATTCTGCATGCTGACCTCTCTGGATTGTAAGTTGTCCAGTCTTAGTGGATTTTGCTTTAGACCAGCAGTTCTCAACCTGTGGGTCATGACCCCTTTGGGGGTCGAAGGACCCTTTCACAGGGGTCGCCTAAGACCATCGGAAAACAAAAAGATATTTACATGACGATTCATAACAGTAGCAAAATTACAGTTATAGAGTAACAATGAAAATAATTTTATGGTTTGGGGTCACCACAACATGAGGAACTGTATTAAGGGGTCGCGGCATTAGGAAGGTTGAGAACTGCTGTTTTAGACAGTAAGTTTAAAGCAAATGTTCTTGATGTCAGTAAAGGTGACCAAGTGCTAAACTGATCATTTCAGTGCTGGATGACCAGTAATAGTCTAAAAGAATTAACCCCTTTTATTACTGTTCTCAGTGCTTATTATAGAGATTGACTTTGGTTTTTGGGTTAAGTGCATGTTTCAGGGCGTGGGGTTGGTGTTTGAATCCTGGTAGTGGGGACTGAAGGGAAATATGAGAAGGTCTATATATGGTAATAATATATTCAGGGATCCAGTTGACTCCTCTTCCCCTTTCCACTGCCATTTACCAATTCTTTTTTTTCAGACCTATGGATTTGTCAACTATTAAGAAAAACATTGAAAATGGACTGATCCGCAGCACAGCTGAATTTCAGCGTGACATTATGCTGATGTTCCAGAATGCTGTAATGTATAATAGCTCAGACCATGATGTCTATCACATGGCCGTAGAGATGCAGCGAGATGTCCTGGAGCAGATCCAGGTACTTTGAGGACCCTTAGTGTTTTAGCAAGGATGAAATGAAAATACTCAAGGGAATGATTCATACTGAGGTCAAGAAGGGGTGCTGTGGCTTTTACTTGGAATAGTTAGGAACATAAAATTTTGTTCTTGCTGGATTTATGTTAGTTTTCTCATGTTGGTTTGTTTGGTAAAAGAGTTGTGAGAATAGTCTACCTTTTTTGGTCAAGTTTCCTGAAGTTTTTTAAATAAAATTCTTATAAAATGGTGAGTGTATATTTTTGATTACGTTAAGTATGTACATATTAGACAATCAACAAATAGAGTTTCTTCTCCCTTACTTTTCATCACAGATAACTTACTTCTATCATATAGTTGCATTACCAGGCACCCTTAGGGATATTGAACTTGAAGGGATGTGGTCTATCTCTGCGGAGTTTGCCAAGTTACTTAAATTACTTGATGACCTTTGATTCGTCTAGATTTATTCTCTTTCTCATTCTTAGAGCATAGAGATTTTGAGCCTATATTATAGCAACAACAACAACAAAAAGCTATTTGACATTTTCCAATTCGTGAGCATGCACAACTAGAATTAAAGCCTAGTATGCTCAACTTCTAATCAGTCAAGAAGTATTTGAAGGCTGATTGCAAAAGGATACTACATGAAGTCCTATTTACAAAACCTAAGGTATCTGATTCTTCCTTACTGGATCAGGTCTAGGGCCAATTGTGTTTCTTCTCCCTGCAGCAATTCCTGGCCACACAGTTGATTATGCAAACATCTGAGTCTGGGATCAGTGCTAAAAGTCTTCGAGGGAGAGATTCTACCCGCAAACAGGATGCTTCAGAGAAGGTGAGGAGCCCAAGGAAAGTCCTGTATACCAGTGCTAGAAGTCTGAAGCATCCAGAGAACCTTATGTTATTGCCAGGCTTCTATATTCCAAGGGTGTACATATAGATCTTAGAATGGTGGTGGTTTGCTCACATCCAGAGGAAACCTGTGACTGGGAGGCCTAGTCACATGGGAGAAATTGTGAGCTGAGTGAGCGAATTACTAATTCCTCTGGGAGAGTGCTGACAAGGTGGGGGAAATAGCTTGCAGCAACTGGGGACCATCAGTTCCTGTTCCAGAGGCATAATGGCCAGATTGCTTTTGGATCTCTTTCCTCTTGTTCTTGAGTTTTTAAATTTTGTCTTGGTGTGTGTGGTGCTTGTGTCTCTGTCCTGAGGTTTGGGGTGCTTGCGGCTGAGAGTTTCTGTGGAACCTGATCAGTGTTTGTTTGTCCTCTAACAGGACAGTGTCCCCATGGGCTCTCCCGCCTTCCTTCTCTCTCTCTTTGTAAGTATTGAATGGCTGCAAGCGGTGGTGTTGCCACAAAGATTCTCAGCTCCTGCTGGGGGTGGGTGGCAGAGGGAGGTCCAACACGCAGACTATGGCAATGAACTTCTGTTTATTCAGGTCATTGAATAAGAAACTTTCTCTTCTGCATTTCTGTCTTTCTGCATGTGTGTGTGTGTGGGCTGGGTAGGGACTTTTGACAAGTTCACTGGGCTGAAATGAGGTATTCTTGGTAAGGATGTAGGATGCACCCACTCTTTGTTTCTTGACTCCACCTTTTGCCAATTCTTTTCTTACAAATAGAAGATTGTTCAGAGCAGCAGCAGCAAGCTGGCATTTAAAAAGCGTGCCTCATACTGGCAGATACTCAGCACATAGTTTTTTTTCTTTTCGCCTAACATTAAGCTGCAAGACTGATACCTGATACACAAACACTCAGTAAAATTTAAGATAAAGGTCTCAATAAAAATGACCACTGCATACAGTAGTGGCTGGTGGAATTAGAGATAAGCTTAGTAAAGCTAGCGAAAGACTTTTGTTCTTCCCTTCATGAATTGAACGACCCTCTCTGTGTTGTTCATTATGGGACACGGAGGCATGATAAATGGAAGTGCTTCAGGCTAGAAAACCACATGACCTTAAACCAACTGGATTATTTCAAGGACCTTTGTTTTCCTCATCTTTGTGATGATGCTAATACAATGAGCTACCTGTCCAGCCTACCTCACAGGGATGTTGTGAGGATAAAATGAGATAATTGGTATGGAACTGGCTTGAAAAAAAATTAAAGTGTTACACAAATGTAAGGTGGTATTTTTGTCCTTACTGTTGCCTCATAGGCAACTTGTGTTTGTGAGCTCTAAAAGTTTTAGAGCTCTTGCATGTAAGAAATGTAAAAATGGCCTGGCCCAGCAAAAATGTTCACTAGTTCCTCTTGCCTACAGGCTTCAGCCTGTACCACAGACAGAACAGTATAATCTCCGTTCTTATTGGCCTGCAACAGTGACTGGAATCCCAAGCTATTGGCTGGCTGTTGCAAAGCTGGTTAATAGGACCTTTTATCTATTGAAGACAGCAAAGTGTTGCACAAGAGGAAGGAGCTGGGCTACAGGGAGAGAGCAGCAGATGGAAAGAAGCCTTCTGATTGTCCAGATCTCATGGAAAACAACTGTCAGGAGGTGCTAGGGAACTAGTGCCAGGGTCAGTCTGCAGGAAAGGCCTTTCTTATAGGGACCAACAGCTGGACAGGTATGTTATTAGCCAAGAATCTCACTATCCACTACCCTTTCTGACTCCCACCTTTCTTTTACTCTTCCTATTCCTTTGCACATAATTTGGGGGCTGGGTGGGATGACTAATAGTCGTTCTTTGGGACCCCAGGTGAACTCTAGTGACCTTTGTGGTGGGCAGGAACAAGGTACTCTGTACTACGTATCCTCTCACAAAACTCCTACCAGGTGATTTTTAGCACACTCTATGGGAAGACAGATATATGCCCCTCATTTCCTGGATTTTTCTGCTGATTCCTCTCCCCCCAAAAAACCAAATCCCCAACATTCTTGTACCTTCTCTCTCACCTTTTAAACAACTCATATTTCCTTTCCTTGTCTGCCTATCATTTAGGATGGGGGAACCAGGGGGCGCCGCTGTGCCATTGAAGCAGATATGAAGATGAAGAAGTGAAGTCTCAAGAGTATCCTCATTGAACTGAACCAGAAAAAGAAGTAAACAAAATAGAGCTTGGGCTTGTGGGCCGGTTCCAGAAGTGGAAGTTACAGAAGAGGAGTCGCCTGGGCCACATGACATGAGCTGGGAAAATCTCTCTTGGAGAGTTAGAATAGCACAGTTGCCTGTTTTAGGGCAAAAATCATGGGCTGTGTTAATGTCCTAATGTGTAGCTAGCAGATTGTAGCTAATTTGTACTGTCTTGTGAAGTGTACAGACTTTTTAAAAAAACAAAAAAACACCTGTGAAGTGTGTGTGTATACAATAAACTCTGAAAGAAAACTAGCCTTTGGTGTGTTCTGTGTGTGTGTGTGTGTGTGTGCGTGTACGAAACTTGTGACCTCTTCTGCATAACTTTCATCATTTGTGGAAATGAGATAGCTAGGGAAAGTGGTCTTAAAACATGAGCTGTTCTACTACAGCTCAGAAGGTAAGTAACCGAGATTGAATTTATAATTAATGCGTTGTGCAATAAAGACTGTCTTAACTCAGCTTTTCTTGGGTATCTGGGAAAACAAAGATTTTCAGAGTTCTGTTCCTGGCATTGCTTAAAGAAGATCAAAGTATGGACATAGGTAGCACTGACCTTTATCTTGGACTTTTGTCCTTAATATTGTTTTTACAGATGACATTTGTAGGATAGTATATTTCCATTTCCTTCTTAACCTATTTCTATGTTTGGGGTTCTTGAGTATTTTAGAATTCATAATATTGCTACTTGAAGGCTAAACTCAGTTTAAGAGTTACTAAATTTATCACCTGAGTTGATTCCAATTGCTCTTACTAAATAAAACTTAACTCGGTGAAATGAACTACTTAGGAGCCTTTTATTTTAAAGAGATGGAGATGAATAGGGTATTGTCTAATACTTTGAGCCTTCTTGAGAAAGATGTATTTAAGAAAGATAAATGGGAGCCACAGATCTTTTTGGTTTAAATGAAAATTTTAAAAGCTTGTTAGGATGCTAAGAAACTAGAAGATGGTCTTATGAGGTGATGGAAAGGAGTTCATTCCAGGAGTTAGAAAATTAAATACAGTATATTCTTCAGGCAATCTGTAAATATGCATGTGATACAAGCAATGGAGCCCTAAAAGTTGGAGAAGCATGTGGAGGAGGAGTCAATTATTAAAAGATTTGGGGTTGGTAGAGAAGGTCATGAATGAGCTTAGCAAGTCAAGTTCAAATAGGCATCTATGGTGGGGGCTATAAGGAGACAAATGTTATTAGAACAGGGATCATTTTAAGGAATTGTGAAATAACAGGTACCAGGCCAAGGGGACAAAATGGCCTGAGTTATGGAGGACTTGCAGATTGAGAAATTTGTATTGAGATGATAGCTGTTGTAAAACCTTGGCTAGGGAGATGCATTTGTTGAGAGCAGACTGAATTAAAGATAGAAACTGAATAGGAGTCTATGGCATTCAGGAAGAAAGGATGAGCACTGAGAAAAATGGTTGTGGAAGAAAATTGAGACTTGCTTACTGAATATGAGAAAAGAGTCAAAACAGGATCAAGAGGTAAAAAGTATAACTATTACACTGTGTTGTACACCTGAAACTAAAGAAAAAAACAGGATCAAGAAAATAGTGTTGGTGATAAGGAAATTAGGGAGAGCAAATGATTTGGGAGATAAGTGGTTTTAGTTTTAGAAATGTTGAGTTGAAGCAGGTGGTAGGGCACCAAAAGGGCATTGGCCTTCAGGCACATGGAGAAACGAGACCAGAATGCACATAAGTAAAGGTGGAGAGATTTGGGCACCACCTGACTAGAAATCAAATTTGAGACCTCAAAGTATGTACATTTTTTTTTAAAGGAAGTATTAATGAGGAAGCAGAGGACCAAGCAAGAACATAGATGATGGATTTATTGAAAGGTGTAAAGGGAGAGGACAAGGATAGTGTAGTATAATGAAGGCAAGGGAAGATATTTCAAAAACTGATGTTGCTGTTCTCATTCTGAGAAGGGAGAGTTGGATATGACCAGAAGGATGCCACTGGCAATTTTAAAGTATGTTTTGAGGATTTAATGGTTGATAGGTTAAGAATGTATGCTGAGGAAAATATCCCTTGTCCCTCAAATTTATTGCCTTGCATTTGAGTTTAAAGGTGATTTGAGATAGAGGAATTCTCTTTAGCTAACTATGCTCCAGTTCTTTCCCTGTTTTGGAGTATGAAGAAATCGAAAAAATAACTGGGTAATTATTATACTGTTTGACATGGGCTTTTTTATTCCCAATGACAGGTCGTTTCGTCTCCCAATGTCTCCAGCTAGTTTTAACTCCTAATGATGAGTAGAAAGAAATTTCTGGCCCCTTATCTTTCTACTGAGCGTGGGACAAGCAAATGCCTTAGGAATATTGATTTGAGTGAATCTAATGCATTGTTTTCTGTGTATTTACAGATGGGGCATGAATGGGTTTGGTTGGATTCTGAACAAGACTATCCCAATGACTCTGAGTTGAGCAACGACTGCAGGTCCCTCTTCAGCTCATGGGACTCCAGTCTGGATCTTGATATGGGCAGCTGGAGGGAGACTGAGGACCCAGGGGCTGAGGAAGTAGAGGAAAGCAGCCCAGGGAGAGCACCTAGTGAGCTGCTTGTGGGGGACGGAGGCAGTGAGGAATCTCAGGAAGAGGCAGAGCCAGTCAGCAGTCAGAACCTCCTCCACTTTCTCTCTGAGGTAATGAGGAGCCATTACTTCCAAAGTTGGGAGTTTCACATCTAAGAGAATGTTTACCTGTACAGATTTATACCACTGTTAGTACTGTTGACTAAAATATTGGGTTGTTGGAAAAGTCATGACGAATTTTTTCTATGTTGTTTGTTGCAAAAATGCAACATGACTTTTCCGACAACCCAATAGAAGCTCCACAGTGGCAGGGACTGCGTTCACTGCTGTGTCTTCAGCACTTGGTGCTAACCCAAAATATGCGCCAAATGTGTACTTTTTGACTGAATATTCTAAAGTCCCAGTCATTAGGACCCTGAGTCATAGGAAGTGAAATTTCTGTATTCAGGACTGATAAGCATATCCTTGCAATTCATTCTTTCAGAGTCATGGGAGGTGATACTCGCCTAAACTCGTAACTTAAAGATTATTATATGACTTCAAGGCAATATTTTACAGTGTCCTTATTACCTTGGTTAAGGGCTGTGTACCAGAAATAAACAACAGGACAGAGGGTTTATATTTATGAAGCAACTACACACATTTGAGAGAACCTAGGCCAAGATCAGCAAGAATCCAGTTCAAATATTGCCACTTCTATCAGCATTGTGGTAGATGAAATTTCTAGCAGTTCGCTAGTCACTCCCAACTGGTCAGAGTTGACACTAGAGATGAAAAATTAGAACATAAGCTCCTGGAAGAGGCAAGAACCATACCTATCTTATTTACTGTTAGGTCCCTAGCAACTAGTCGGGTGCCTGTGTATGTAGATATTTAATAAAATTTAAATGATTGAATGAATTAACTAACCTATTTGCCATCTCAGACTTAGTCACAGTGGCATTGTAATCATGTGGCATTATTTATACGTAGATGATGATTTCCCTTGGTGTTCCTGTGTATCTAACAATAGACTATGGTTGCAGGTAGCTTATTTAATGGAGCCATTATGCATTAGCAGCAAAGAATCAAGTGAAGGCTGCTGCCCTTCATCTGGTACCCAACAACAAGAAAGAAAGGAAATTGAAGTTATTGAAGGAGAAGGGGAGCCCTGCAGAGATCGTGAAGAACTTTCAGCCAAGGCAGACCCCTTGGTAGCTGAGAAGAAGTCACTGGGAGAAAATGGAAGGCCACAGGTTTTCCCAGCTCCCTCAGATATTTGTGCAGTTCAGGAACTACCCATAGAGAATGAAGAGGTTAGTGAATAACTTAAGCCAGCTGCCTGATTGGTCCTCTGCACAGAGAGGCAGAGCAGAGTGGTTAGAGCACATAGGCTGACTCCAGAGCGTGCAACTACCTGGGTCCAAACCCTGGTTTTAGCACCAAATAACTGTGCCCTCAGGCATGTTAGTGAACATTTTAGAATCTCAGTTTTCTGTCCTGTAAGTGGAATAATAGTGCTCCTACCTTAAAGGTTTGCTGTGAGGTTTAAATGAGACAATTCATGTAAAGCACTTAGTGTAGTGCCTAGCTGATAGCAACCAGTAAAATTTAGAATGCCATTATCATTAATATTACCTGACCAGCTAGACTCGTTAGCTCCAGGGCCACAGATGATACTGACAGTTTTAAAGAAATACAGCATCCATCTAGCATTGAGTATATTGCTTTTTCATTTTTTTCTTGGGGGGTACAGTGTTAGAGTTCTTGTTACCAAGAATTCATTGACTTAGGTCTAGTTAGTCACCTTTCTCTAACTTCTTTTATAACTGTATATAATTGGCCTCTTCTCACTTTAAGGTCACCCTTCATTTACCCCATGCAAGTAAAATGACCTTGCTGATAGTAAATCTCTTTCTAAAGTTTCCTCTGTTTCCTGGCATCCCCAGGGAGAGGTTCAGCAAGAATCCAAAGGGGAGGACCAGGGTAAAGGGTATGTGTCAGAGATGGAAGAGCAGCCCTCCACAGGTGAGTGTGTGGCTGGCTTCAGCACCCAGGCTGCTCCTCTGGTGGATATCCTTTACAGCGGTGCCCCCTCCTCAAAGCTGTAAGTACAATATTTATCCAAGGATGTTAAGATTGGTAGTTTTACCTATGTTTATGCCTATTTAAATGTGTTACTATGAACATGAATTACTTTTGTAAATTAAAAAAAGGAAATTAAAGTTGGAAAACACTAGAAATAGAATTAAATAGAATTTATAGAAATAGAAGTCTAGGGCTGGCCGAGTGGTGCAATGGTTAAGAACTGGCTTGGGATGCCAGAGGGCCCTGGTTCGGATCC